AGCCCGCAGGCCACGCCCACGCCCGCCGCCGCGCCCGTCGAGAGGCCCGTCGGCGGCGGCGCGGCGCCCGTCTGGGTCGGGCCCGGGGTCCCGGACGAGGTGGCGGCGCTGGAGGAGGAGGAGGAGGAGGAGGAAGAGGCCTGGACCTGCAGCTGGAAGAGCGGCGCGCGCAGCGTGACCTCGCTGACGACGGCGGCGGCGCGGTTGTCGGTCGTGACGGGGTTCGGGAAGGTCGCGGGCAGGGTCATGGCCGGGCTGCTGACGTCGCGGGCGCTCGAGCAGCTCTTGATGGGGATCGTGCCCGAGGTGGCCGTGCTCAGGCACGTCTGGCCGTTGTCGACGGCCGGGTCGTAGCGGCAGGTGTATCCGCTGTTCAGAGATTAGCAAAAAGAAAAAAAAACCACACACAAGAGCAAGATCCATGTATCTGGGACTGCACCACACCCGGGGGTTTTGTAGGATGCGCCCGCCCTCGATCTCGAGAAGAAGAAGAAGGACTCACGTCGGACAGCACCCGTACGCCGTCTCGCCCGGCACCAGCGGGAACTGGAACATGAAGCCGCCGCCGACGCCGGCCGTCGCCGAGCAGGCCGTCGTGTAGCCGACGGGGCAGTGGAGGCCGGGCGAGTAGAACCCCCAGCCGTTGAAGGCGACGCCCGTCTCGACCGTGTCCGCGCGCGGCGGCGGCCAGCAGGCGGCGGCGTCGCGGACGCCCTGCGAGTTGTACGTGTTGACGCCGCAGCTCTGGGCGAGCCAGCCGTCGGTGCAGCTCGTGCAGCCGAGGACGGCGGTGCTGCACGACGCCGGCGGCGTGAAGGTCGTCGTGAGCGGCCCGAGGTTGACGCGCGAGGCCATGGCGGGCGAAGCTGGCGGGCGGTGCGCGCGCGACGCGGGACGTATTAGCAGGAGAGAGTGTTTGGGATTTTGGACAGTCCGGCGGCTCTCGAAACCGGCGCCTGCCTGTGTGGTGAGCTGGACCGGTTGTCGAGGGGAGGACCCTTGTCTGGATTCGTTCGTAGGCCCACGCGTAAGAAGGAGAAAGAAGTCTTTCTCAATGACTGCTCTGGTAGAATCCAAAACTTGGTTCACGTCAAAACGCGCGGCAGATCCTTCAGAGGAAACCCGCCTGGACTCTTGGAGGTAGGTTGCACGGTTGAAGAAAAAAAAGTAAGACTCCTCCTCGTGCCTCGTAGCTCCTCCCCCCCAGTGCGTTGCACAACTTGGCTGAGGCCAATATCCCCTTTCCACTCTGCATCGAAGACACACCCTAGCCATCAGAAGCTGTGCCAATGGCAGCGGCAGGGCGGGCTCAGCCATCCTCACCCTCCCGTCCAACCCATCCACCCCCGTCAGCACTTGCTGCATGTCAGACTGGCGATGTGGGACGGGAACAGGGGTTGCATCCAGGCTGGCCAGGCCTTCCCCCGGACAGTTCAATGAGTTCATCAATTGAATCTCGGAGACACTAGGCCCTATGCCCCATCAGGCAAATGAGTTGGCAGTGCTAACCGCCTAACCGCGGGCACAAGCCCATGCGCTGTGACACAAACGGCAGACCAGTGGCTCGCTTGAGCAAGGATCGCGGTCGAGGAGATGATCGGTGAGCCCTGGGCATCTGAGTGGCAGAAGGTACCCATGCAGGGTTGGATACGGATCTTGGTCAAAACAAGGAGAGAGAAATGGAAATGCAACACCAGGAGTCCGCACACGTTGGCTCTCTTCCACGAGTGAAAAGGGAATGCGAAGTACCTACAAGCAGTTGAGTGTACAAGTAGGAACGAAGTGTAAACATGCTGATCGTCGCTTTGCATCCTGCACGTGTACTTGGGTATCATGAATAACGAACGAATGGATTTGGGTATCGTACTTGTACTTGCTGAAATAATGACCCTTACGAGGTAGCAAATCATATGGATGCAGAAAAGGAGGTCCTTTTGCACACAACGAGACAAAAGGACTGGTCCCTCTCCCCAAAGCGAAAACACCCGCTCCAAGGCCCCCAAAACGGATCCCCATTCAGCCCACCCAACAGCGGCTGACCCCACTGGCCGTAGTTCGCACTACCTAACTAATCCGCCGCTATGAATCCCCGGGGATACCTACCTCCCGCACGATGCCTCCGTTCTTCCCCCAACTTTCACAACAGGTAGTACGCGCCGGCCGCAACCAAGACGGACCAGCAGACGACACCGACGACAGGCCTCGCCGGCACGGCGGCGACAGCGCCGCTCTTGCCACTGCCGCCGCCGCCCGCATCGGTCCCGTTGCCGCCGCCGCCGCCGCCCGTCGTCTGGTTCGCGCGCAGGCACGCCGTGTGCGCGTTGGCGAAGCGCAGCTGCCTGCCCGCGGCGTCGGCCTGCGCCCAGGTGATCACGACGGGCCACACGTTGCCCATCGCCCGCGCGACCTCGCCCCTGTCGTCCCTGCCGCCCGGCGCCGAGGCGTAGGCGAACAGGCCCCGCTGGGAGATCTGCCCGGCGGGGATGGCTGGGACGGTGGTGTGTGGGTTGTGGTCAGCGAGCATGCCTCACCAGGAGAGTAATAAGGGGGCGGGTAGATCAGAAGGGGAAGGAAGGTAGGTAGGTAGGTAGGTATAAAGGCTGGCACCGCTCACCAAAGGCCGTCCCGTTGCCGACGATGTGCTCCTCGCACTTGGGCGGCACCCCGGGCGTGCTGCACGTCCCGTCGGCGGCGATGCCCCGCGACTCGGCCTGCACCTGCAGCTGCTTCAGGCAGTCGCTCGGCAGGAGCTGCGCGCAGGTGCCGTCGTCGTCGTCGCCGGCCTGCTTCTTGCTCGCGTCCGCCGCCGCCGCCGCTAGCCCTAGGTACACCGTCGCGCACAGCCGCCACGACGCGCCCATGTCGACGGCGGGGGAGTGGCCGAGCGAGACGGTCGTCACGCGCGCGTATTTGCCCTTGTCGGCGTCGCTGGCCCGCGGCACGTCGCGCAGCGGCACGTTGGCGTAGACGTCGATGCCCAGCCGCCAGCTGTCGTCCTGCAGGTCGCTGCCGCTGGCGTTGCCGTCCGTCGAGGGCGCGTCGACCCGGTAGCCCGGCACGGGGTAGCTGGCGGCGGAGACCTCGGAGGCGGGGGAGGAGGACAGCGCCTGCCGGAACTTGTCCTCCGGGATGCCGTAGGGCCCCGCGCCGTTGGCGGGCGGGTCGCCCGTCACCAGGCTCTGGCCGCTGGCGAGCAGCGGCAGGACGAGGGAGAGGAGGCCCTGTTGTTGGCGTCGCATCGTGATCAATGTGAATTGTGTCTTTTGCCGTCGTGCGAATGTCTCCCGCAATGTGTAATAATCAAAGACCAGAGACGGCATGACTCTCGTGCTCTCCAGAACCTGAAACTTGCCCTCTTATTAAAATCTCCTATTATATATATGATCCGACATGAGATTGGCCAGCGCGGGCAACGTCATTGCTCTGATCCCACGACCATGCGATGGCCGCTTCCCCGCAGACGCACACAGACGGGTCCCACAAATGGACAGCAGACAGTGTACAGTATGCTATGCCGATGGGCAGCTCCGAGACGGTTGGACTTCTGGGGGTTCCCGTGGCAGGTCAGCAAGTCACGGCCGTGCATACAGGCTGTCTGACAGAAAGGTGTGGTGGGCAGAGCATTAACAGCTTCTATTTTCGGTCCCGATTGGCAGTACGCATCCTTGCAATTTACATAACGGGTTGCACCCCGAGGATAGCCTACGGCATCCGCGCCGCAGACATGACCTGTTTCCTTCTAGAACGGGGCGATCGGGGATGTTTGTGAACAAGGAAGATCGACTCACTTGGCCGTGAACGATGTGCGCCAATGACGATGGCCTGAAGGGGAGAAACGTGGTCTCAAGTCTGCTCTCGTCGTTGTGTTTGTCACTCATGCAGGCCCAACCAGCGTGAGGGATCGTCCCTCGATCTCCACAAGGACCCGGCAGATCACTGCTGAAATCCGATGAGAAATCCTCCATTTCATGTTTTATCATTAAAGAAAAGAAAGAATACCAGAACAGCTTTCCCGCAGGGTAGATAGCCTGCCTTATGCCAAACGGGGAAAAAAAAGTCTATAGGTTTTTGATCCCAACATCAACTCGCAATGCCGCTCTAAATTATCCTAAACCCCGTCATAAAGCCAATCGTCGCATCTATCAATCAATTCATCATCTGTCGTCTGAGACTCCTCCAACACCCACAACAACGGTCCCGAAAGGGACAAGATCCCAAAACCTCACCAGTTCTGGATATACGCCCCGTTGCCTCGCATGATGTACACCTCGCCGATGAGCACGACGCAGCCGATGATCATGGAGACGGCGATGATGGGCAGGTTGACGCGCGCAAAGTCGAGCGCCTTGACGTGGATGTGCTTGCGCGCGAGGATGTCGCGCCACAGCAGGCCCGCCAGCGAGGCGCTGAACGCCGTGCTGAAGGCGCCGTAGTTGACCCCGATCGCCATGCTGTACACCGTCGCCCAGAAGTCGCGGTCCGAGATGGGCACGCCGCTCTTGTGGTGGATCGTCGCCCACGCCTGGATCACGCGGGACAGCAGGATGGTGGTGCCGATGTTGGTGCCCGCAAACTAGATGGGGAGTCAGTTACTTTCGCCACACTCACCCCAGGGCTTGTAGAAGATTGCCCCCCTCCTCCCCCCGTCACGACGAAGAGAGAGAGAGAGGGAGAGAGAGGGAAAAAAACTTACGTTGCACAAGATGGTGGACAGAAAGGCCATACCACTAATAGCGCCAATCGTGCCCGTCTTGTTCACCCAGTGATCCCACCCGTAGGCAAACACCGGGACCCATCCTTTGCTGCCCAGGGCCTCGACGAGGACAAACATGCAAAAGGCGAACGGTATCAGCGCAAAGGGCAGATGCATGAGCACCGCGCTGACGGTCGGGAAGGTCTCCTGCGCCCACCGGAGCCGGTCCTCGCAGATCGTCGTCAAAGTCGTCGGTCCGCGGGCGGCGCGTTGCGCCTCGAGGTAGCGCTGCACGCGCACTTCTAGCTCGGCGGCCTCGTCCACCTTCTCCGTCTCGATGCTGGTGGCAGGCTCCAAGACGCCCGGGGATGAATTGTTCGATGGCATATCGTCTCTCTTCTCGCTGTGGCCAGCAGGGGCGATCTCTTCGCTCGTCTGGCTCCGCTGCGACTCAGTCTCATTGGCGTTGATGGTCTTTGACGCCTCCACCTCCTCCTGCTGAGAAGGCGACTCGGCCAGGTCTCTGGAAGTAGACTCCTGTCGCCGCCTTTCTTGGTCCTCGGCCTCGATTGCTCGGATCGCCCGCGCGCGCTCAATCTCCTCGCGGCCTTTCCGTGCGATGCTACGCGTTTCCTTGCGGTGGAGCCACCCAAAGGTCATGTCCCAGCAGAACATGACGAAGGCCGCCGGAAGGGTGACCCAGTACACCTGGTGTTCACCTGTCCCCTGGCTGGCTGCGTTGAGCGCAAGCACAGTAATCAGGGTTGCTGCCATGATGATCCCGCCAAAGGCTGCGCCACCCTTGTCCAGGAAAGGGTTCATGATCTCTTCGAGCGACAGAAGCTTTCCCTGTTCCGTATTGGCCGGATCGTCCTCTTCTTCCTCGGCAAGACCTCTTGCGTTCGGAATGTTGGGGTTGACGGGCTTTCTGCTGCTCGCAGCTGGATCCAGCTCATGCATCTTGATGGACATGGGAATGAGCGATTCGTTCGCAAAGACGATGTATAGAAGAAAGGGGAATAGTAGAATTGCCGTGACCACGACCGGGACGATCATGTTGGCTGTGTATGTGATGAACTTGATGTCGAAAGCCCCGGCCAGGACCAGGTTGGTCGGGTTGGAAGAGACCAGGATGGCCGAGGCAATGTTGGCGATGGCAAATTGCGTAAAGATCCAGGCTCTTGGGTGAATAATGTTGCTCGAGACACGGGTCATGTAAGCAAGGAAGGCCGTCCCGGAGAGGATGATGGGATCGTTCCCGATGAAGCTCCCGAGAGCGAAGAAGAACGTGTAGAGGTAGAAGAAAAGACGATCGCCCCTCTTGCCTCCCCATTGCAGAACCTTAAAGGCCAGGTAGCGAATGAGCCCAGAGGCGTCAATGGATATGGCGATGTAGGCCAGGGTGATGAAGAAGACCATGATGTCTATGGGGTGGATGTTGTTGGCACCGACGGTGCCATTGTAGACTTCTTGGCGCGCGATGGCCCCGATAGCCAGCAGGAAAAGATCTGCTATCAAGGGCGCCGTGAGAAAGTTGACGGGGAAATGCAAGCGCGTGAACACGCTCTTCTTTGCCAAAGGCTCAGAGCCGGCATCTTGCTGATCCACATCATGTCTCTCTGGCGAGATGATGCGCATGCTCCTCAGGGCTCCAAGAAAGCCCTCTACCAAGAATGTCGGGACCCATACTGGGATGTGAAAAGGAAAGAGAACGATGATATCTGCTCTGGTCAGTCACAGGCACGTGCCTGGCGTCTCGACAGGCTCACTCACTCGTTATTACAAAAACAACAAGGGTGATGATGGACTTCCAGTCGCCCTGCTTGATGCGTTCGGTGCTCACGTCAACCTCTGTGAGTGCCATGGTTGATGCCCGTTGTCAACCAAACCACAGCGCGCGTGGTGAGTGAGATGCGCCTCAAACCTGCTTGTCCATTGAGCTGTCGCAAAGAGGAAATTCGGGCTCGCAGCCAGTTGTCGCGCACACACAAAGACGTGTCGAAGAGGGTTATATCATCCCCGAGACAAGAGCGCCCGGTACGCGCAATCCGTTCGTGTGCAAGCCGTCTTGACTTCAATTGATGGTGACGTTGAATTGTCTTGGTATCGACAAGTCGGGCGGGTCAATCCTGGGCTCCTCAGTTTTTTTCCTGGACCAGGGGGGAAGAACAGGCGGGCGGGGGTGGATTTTAGCCTCGTTTGGTTTTTGCTCAGTTGCCCCCCTCCCCCCCAAGCCTCCCTCGCCCGCACTAAAGGCCCAGGGCGTCGTCACTGAAAGAGCTTGGTAAACTTGGCGTCCTAGGCCGCTCTGGGCGGGGCGTGAATGGCGCAGTGAGCGCTGGAGACGGCACCACGTGCTAGCGTCCAGGGTGGCGCGGACCCGTACAGAGCCCCTACAGCACCGTCTCGGCGCCCCGAGCTGGGTCTTGGAATTTCTTGGAAGTCTACTCGGGTCGATTGTCGTCTCAACTTCAATCGGCCTTGCTTGCTCGATATGTCTCGGAACCCGTTCATGGACGATCTGCACCCGCGTTGCCAGAGACCCATCCGTTAGCTCTGATACTGGCTGCGAACGAGTTTAATTAACAGCACCGGTTGCCGAGGAGCAGGTACTTTCGCTGCTTGGATGCCGGATCGAGTCAAGTGAACGAGGCTATGCAAAATGCAGGAAAAAAACGATCGACTCGGGCCTCACTCCGGCCTAACCCAAAGCAAGACTCGGTCACGGGTACACTACGCCGCATGAGAAACACTGCAATGCAGCCGCATCGACACGGCATTTGATAGGGCGTGTGAGCTGGCGGCTGTGGCCGAAAGGGAAGCTTGCTGACAGCCCGTGACGACACCACCACCACAAGCAGGACAACGTTCCCGCCGCCCACACTCTCTCCATCGTCAGCCCTGCGCTACCGGAAAGGCGGGCGATCTTAACCCCTGCGGCTGAGTCTCTGTCACGAGAATGAATGCCGTTTGGTTGCTCATTCATGATCAATTCTGCACTTCTACAACATAGGCAATTTTGAACTCGTTCTTCTTTCTGTATCTCGATATTGTAGACTCGCACGCACCGCGCGCGGATGGCCAGCCAAGACAGCACTCATCGAACCTCGTCTTCCAAGGCCAAGCAATACGGACATTTGTGTGTATTGAGGCTTTAACGACGTAGTCGCCGCCAACCCGTTGCAGCTCGGGACACAAACCACCACATGCCCGCGCTATTAACGCACGCAACCGAACTGCTGCAAACCTTTGTCGACCGAGACACCGTTGCCAACGCCTCCGTGAACGGGACTGGCGATGCGCCGCCACTGCAGGTGGTGTGCGCCTGGCCTGTGTCGGGCCAGTACGGGCCAGGCTCGCGTGTCCTGTAAGTCCAACTCCTCCAGTTGCCCCCTTGTCTTTGCACGATCCATTGTGGCGACGTTCGGCTCTCGCTGATCTCCTCGCTCCCCAACCAAGCTATTACGTGCTCGTGGCGACGTGCGTCCTCGCGCGCAAGGCAGAATGGCTGCGCAGTGCCTGCCTGGCCGCCGCGCTAGTCCTCCCGGCCGTCGCCGCCATCCACGGCATCGTCCTCGCCGCCATCCACGTCGACGGCGCCGTCGACATGGACATCTACGGCGCCTTCCAGGTGTGCGCCATCGCCACCCTGGCGGGCCCCGTGACTGCCAGGCTCTCCCGGACGTATTTCTTCAACCCTGGCCGCAACACCATCTTTTTGTGGTGCGTCCTCATGATTGCCGGTAAGGAGAACGCTGCTGCTGCTGCTGCCGGGAGAGAAGTTTGATCCAAGGGGGGGACTTGGCTAACGTGTGAGCTACCCGCAACGACAAAGGTCTGTTGAGCCTGACCGTCGAGTTCTACCGGGCGAACCCTGTAGGATGTCCGTTTGACAACGAGGGCAATCCAGCCCCGCGCAACCTCGACAAGTTCCCGTACGACAATATCACATGCGGCCTGGTCTGCACCCCCGAGACGGGGCCGAGGAACCCACTGCGCCGCGATGCCACCGACGACATCTATGTGATACCAGCGCCGGCGCCGCTGACGTTCGGGATGGGCACTCTGCTTGCCGCCGCCTGCTGCATCCCCGCCATCCTGTCGCTGGTCTCCATGTGGAACAAGATCGTCGAGATCAACTGGAGGGCAACTTTTGGCCAGGGGGAGGACGAGAACGACCAGATCGAAGGTACGAACGGTGCCACCGTCAAGGGCATGAAGGGCGTCAATGCCATCCTCAAGTCGTGGCTGTCGGTGATCGAGGTCCCGGTGTTCAGCGCTGCCGTGTTGGCCGTTTTGATCCTCGGGGAGCTGAATCTCTTCAGCCCACAGATGCGATTCCGAACAGAGCCCATACAGAGCATCGGTAAGTCAAGGACACGCCGTACCACAGGTATGAGGCCGCTTCTATGGACTAATCTCCGTCTTTAGGGCAATGGGGACCGATTGTAGCGACGGGTCTGATCGCGTTCGGGTCCTTGTATATGCTTCTTGCAGGCGACATGGAGACTGTCAGAAAGGGGGGCGAGATCGGTGGCAATGAAGACAGCAACACCAATGGCATTATAGTCCACCATTGCAATTGCTCTCACCACCACCACGACGAGAACGGACGGTTCTTGATCGAAATTGACCGGGATCGGGCATCCAGTGCCGGCAGAAGTATGAATGGAGAGAAGCGACACGAGTCGCCCAGCCCACCAATCACGCACCAAATCAGCCGCGGACGGTCTAGGACACCATCTGCGGCAGTCCATGCTCCCGAATCCCAAGCGGTAAACAGAAGGAGCTCCTCCAACGAGGACGAGGACGTGGTGAGGTCGATTGTCGGTGATGTCGACCAGAGATTGCGACGCCTATCGACCAACGATGTCGGGGGTCGGCGGAAGGTCGCCGAGACCCTGACGCGCCTCAGCAAGTTCTTGGAGACGGCAGGCGGCGACATGTACGACCTATCCGACTTCAAGAACAGCGAGGCGATGGACTTCCCCCTCATCCCGGGCGAGGACTACCGCAACCCGGATCTCTCGGAGATCAAGAGGGCGTACAACGCCCCGCGGGACGACAACGACGACGCGGCATCCATGCGGCCCCGGTCGCGCTCCCGAGCGCGCAGCTTCGCCAACAGCGTGTTCGATGCCGACGGCGAAACGGCCGGGCCGTCGACGCCGCGCGCCGCGCGCCACTCCGTCAGCAACAGCCGGCGAAGCCGCTCGGACACCATGAACAGCGACCGGCAGTCGCTCGACTTGCACCACACGTCCACGGCCGGGTCCAAGGGGCCCATGCCGGTGAAGCGGCGCGCCACGCTGGAGGTCCCCGGCAGTCCCCCCGCCGCGCCCAGCGACCTTCCTCCGTCGCCCACGACGCCGACCACCCCTTCGGTCGCGGTGCCGGGCAGCCAGGGCTCGCCGGCGATTGTCATCTCTGCGGATTCGGATTTCGCCTCGCCCGGACAGATGCCGGTGTTGGCTCCGCCGGCGGCTCGCATGGCGGCAGAGCCGCGGCCTCCACCTCGAGAGCAATCGCCTCCTCGGCCGAAAAGGGAAGGGTAGTGAGGGCCATGAATACAGTGGTAGAACCCTCGTGAATATGAAAAGTCGTCGATGCGTATATGGAAATCATCGACGCGCTTCATCGCTGCCGAGGATGGACCAGCAACTGGAAGTCGCCAGACGACGATTGAGTTGATGGCATATGTGGCATGGTGCCGCCATGGCTTTGGTCTTGATGGTGCTGCCCCTGCCCGTGCCCGTGCCCGTGGTCGTCATGGGCTGCCGGCCTGATGGAGAAGTGAGCCAGCATGGACTCGTGAGGGACCGACTGCGACAGCGATGTGTCTTGGTGAGAATCTTCGGGGTGGTGGATCGAAAGAGACTCTGTCGACTGTCTCCTGCCTGGTACCGAGATGCTTCTGTTGCGGCCCGGTTGAAGGTGGCAACGAAGGCTGTCGCCCTCTTTCAGGTCCTTGTCCAGGCCCTGCGCCATGATGGCAGAGAGCACTGCGGCGACGATCACCTTTCATCGTGGTGTTAGCAGTATGTTCGTCATGATAAACGGAGAGGCCATGCGGGGACTTACATCGTCACTGTTCTGGTGTTTTGATGGATGCATAGGCTGGGTGTTATGCGTAGCACTTGGAGGGTGAACCTCTGGTGTGCTGCTGTTCGTATTTGTGGGGATGTGGAAAATTCTAGATTGTTTTGGGTTGACAAGTTCAGATGAACTATTATTCTTTGGATCGGTTTGGTTTGGGATGCACAATCCGTCGACCTCTCGGGACGGTCCATGGCTCTTTTACTCTTTTGGACTCGCCCTCCGTGGCGGCCGTCCTCCGAAGGTCGTGGGATGTTTGGGCCCGCACATGCCCATAACGATTGGAGGCTACGCGCTCCGAAGCCAGACACGAGCTCGAGACGACCGGCCACGGGACTAGAGATACGGCGACGGCGCTTGGCCTCAAAGGAATGAGAAATGATCATGATTGATAATGTTCTAGAAGCAACGCAGAAATAATGGCACGATCCCCGGGTGCGGACGGTGCAGGTGGCGGCGATCTCGTGATGTTCGGTCGGGGGGTTGTGTTCGACTCGGCCCGACCACCGTAGCCAAGTCTGGTAGGTAGCTATCTCGTTACGTAGGTTGTGAGAGAAAGCCCACGAAAGACGTCATGGTCCCTCTAATTCAGGTTCCTTGTCCGAGATTACAAGTAGACAGGTGAAAGAGTGATAACAAAAAGGTCCAACTTCATGAAAGAAATCCAAGAATCAAATCTCCAGCATCGGGACCCAGCCTGGCCTGCCTGGTGCCTTTGGCGTGTAGAGCGCCCGCAATGCCGCCCAACCTCGAGCACTGCTTTCTCCCGTCAGCCAGCTCTTTGGATCTCCAGGCCCAAGCTTCAGCGCCTTTCAGAAGGGGGTCCACGTGCGCCAACGGCGGGCTCTCGTTGAAGCTTGGCATGCCGAGCTGCGAGATTCCCACGCTAGCAGGCGTTCGCACAGCGCCAAGGCCCCGGGAGCGCTAGACAGGGCGAGTGGGCTGACCCCATCTGCGCTGGATTGAGCCTTAGTTAGATGCAACCGCATACAAAACATCCAACAACAGCTCACGCTCCGCACACCCTCATCCACCTACCCACACACGGCTGGACTGCCCTTCACTCAGCCTTGACGAGATTGCTGGAGACTTGTGAGGCTTGGGAATTCTTGGCATGCACTGACTGCATGTCTGTTGTCCTTTGATATCATTGGTTCAGGTCTTCCCCATCCACGGACTACACCTCTCAGTACTTGTACATTGCAAGCTCAAACTGCGTGCCGAGACGCGGTTCTTCTTGGACATGGTGACATGAGACTCCATAGAGGGGCTCAGGATATAAGAATGCTCGATGCCGCCAAGTAGCCAAGACCTTGTCTTCGACCCTGCTTGGGTCTTGGGACGACGAGAACCGCCCACCTCCGAGCGACGATCCAAGGCCGAGCAGACGTGCAGCCGCTGCCCTCTTTCCCTCCGCTTGACGAGGGCGACTTTGAAGACTCACATGCTGGGAACCCGAGAGAGCTGAATATTCCCATGTGAACATGGCGGTCTGGGTTCTGCTCGGTAGGCCATGCGAGAGGCAGTTGCTCCTGGACGCCATGACCCGGATGGCTGGTCGAAACTCCCAGGCTGCATTCTGATATGAACAACCGGCTCTGAATCGCGGCATCATCCGTCCAAGACAACTCTTCAGAGCCAAAGGTATGACCAGTCTCGAGTGAGACCCTGCTCTTCCAATCTCATCGTGAGTGCCCTCGAGGATGCTACTGTACAAAACGTGGTAGTCATGGAAGCATTGCAGCAAGTGGAATAGGTGGAATTGCCAAGTTGGCCCACCCAATATTTGTCCACTCTTGTATCCTTTAATGCATATGGCCCGGATTTCGGCAGCCCAGGCGTGCTGTATGCACATGGCTTCCTACCGATTTCCTGCCATTACGGACTGGCCTTACGGAAATAGGATTTTCGCCCGTGTTATTCCACAACAGCGCTTATACGGAGCAGTAAAGGATGAGATTGCGGCGTGATGCCTCCAAGGCTCAGCCAAGCAAGGCCAAGGTTCTACACCTGACGGCCAAGGACCGTCCAAGAACCTACCAACGTCTCGGCGATGAGGATTATTCCAAAGAGTTTTCGTCCAATTCCTGGCTCGCTCAGCTTCACGTGTGTATAGCCGTGTATCGAGGAGATAGCATACAAAATGGGTAGAATTGACCTCGATTATGTAGAATGATGTTGGTTCTGGTTGATAGTTGTTCCTCATCAGGGACCTTCTCTTGCCTTGCTTGACTTGTACTGAAAGCAGAGACGTTGGCACCTTTCAACGCGAGACGACTGAGTCTGAATTCTCAGAAGCTATGCCGAACCACCAGTTTGACTATATTCTGGGTCTTGGCAGCATCTTTGCTGCTCTTGACGCCTGGAACATCGGTAAGGGCATTGTACCAATGGACTTTCGAGAAGAATATGCATTGACAAACTCGTGTCTAAAACAGGTGCCAACGATGTCGCCAACTCTTGGGCTACCTCGGTCGCCTCCCGGTCCGTCTCTTACCTGCAGGCCATGGTCCTCGCCACCATAATGGAGTTCGGCGGTGCCATGGGTGTCGGTGCCCGTGTCGCCGATACCATCCGGACCAAGATCGTCGACACCTCGCTCTTCGCCCAGAACCCGTCCTTGCTCATGCTCGGCATGCTCTGCGCCATCATCGCCTCGTCGTTGTATCTGACCCTTGCTACCTCCATCGGTCTCCCGGTCTCGACTACTCACTCCATCTTGGGAGGCGTCATCGGCATGGGTATCGCTTCCGTCGGCGCCGACGGTGTCCAGTGGGTGGCCAAGGGCAAGAAGGGCACCGAGCTCATCAGCTCCGGCGTCATCCAGGTCTTCCTCGCCTGGATCATCGCCCCGGGCCTGTCCGCCTGCTTCGGCGCCATCATCTTCACCATCACCAAGTACGGCGTCATGCTCCGCAAGAACCCCGTCTGGAAGGCCCTGGCCTACGTCCCCATCTACTTTGGCGTCGCCGCCTCCCTGCTCACCATGCTGCTCCTGTGGAAGGGCGGCAACTACAAGGTCACCCTCACCGACCCGGAGCTCATCGGCACCATCATCGGCACCGGCGCCGCCTTCGCCCTCTTCATCTGCGTCACCCTCATGCCCTGGCTCTACCGCGTCGTCATCAAGGACGACTGGCAGCTCCGCTGGTGGCACATCCCCCTCGGCCTGCTGCTCCTGCGCCGCGGCGACCCCCCGCCGCCCCCTGCCGACTACGACATGCCCGACTTCTACGCCGGCCACGCCACCAAGGAGGAGCTCGAGGCCCGCCGCGCGGCCGAGCGCGGCGACGTCGAGGTCGCGGGCGAGTCCGGGACCCAGGAGGCCAAGGAGAACAGCGGCGCCAACAACGCCCTGGCCGTCTCCGACTCGGGCAACAGCAACGACAGCGCCGCCGCCGCCGCCGCCGCCGCCGCCGCCGCCGCCGCCGCCGCCGCCGCCGCCGCCC